ATTGCGTTTGCTGGAGGCTGTTCAATAATTTTCTGAAGCTTCAGTCAGCAAGAACAGCAAACAGTAGAAAAGGGAAAAGTTGCTGCTGAAAACACAAGTTAACTTATCTGGCAACTTTTTTTTTAGTAATTAATATATTCATTAGCATCAAGCCATTTACCTAAATTAATTATATCTTTAGAGGTTATTTTTATGAAATGTGGGAAAGTGGTAAAAATCCTATATGATAAATTATACAGACTTGATTTCTCAAACTGGCTTTCAATTATTATTGTTAATGTCGTATCAAATTAAAAGTCAGATTCATTGAACCCTGCAATAACCCTGCGGGTTCCTTCGAAATGTATTTGCCAAAGCAAATAAGTCTGTTTGACAGACAGCTGAGAGTTCACTTCCACCAAACCTAATCTTCCTACGGCTAATCACGGAGCAACCGACTTCAAACATTAAGTTCACAACAAAATTAATGTGAGTTTAAACTGGATTTTCAAGCCTGATTGCAGCACTAATCTTAGGTTTAGCCTAAATTAGGATCTAATTAAGCCAAATAAGCATTTAATGAAGCTGTGAAGTGTGATTTACTCTGGCGCTATTAAGTTAATGATTTCTTCATTTCAGGTGTTATTTTTGAAATTGTGGACGCACGATCTAGCAAGATGGCTGTGATCAGGTGGGCATGTTATAAAATAATAGGCAACAATAGGCTTCGGTCTGTGTGTGTGCGAGCCGAGGGCTGGCAGTGGGAAAGGTAACGCAGTGAGGGAGAGAGGGAGCGAGAATAAGAAAGGGAAATAGAGAAAGAGAGAAGAGGAAAACGGAAAAGTGAGAGCAATAGGGTGTGCGTGTGTGTGCTGACTGCAGCAATGCGCCAAGGAGAATGGAGGGGGAATATACCCTACAGAGAGAGGGAGGGAGGAGAGAAGGAGGGAGGGGGAGGAGAAGGGGGAGGGATGAGGCAGAGTGAGTGAGAAAGGAAGGTGTGTGTGTGTATGTATGTTTGTGTGTGTGTGTGAACTCAGTCCGAGTGTGAGGGCAGGAGCAATCGACGCAAACTCCCACATTCATTCATCTTTCTGCTTCCTTTTCGCTCGTTTTTCTCCTCTTCGCCTTCTTTTTTCTTCCTCTGTCTTCTTGCTCATTGCAGCATGTGTGTGTGTGTTTGTGTGTGTGTGTTGCGTTCAGGTATATCTGCATCCAAGTGTGCGCATGTGTTTGTGTTGTTGTCGAGAGAGATAAAGTGTTGCAGTGATTTCTAAGGGGATAGCCACAGGCAGCCTCTGAACTTATGTTTACTACGAAGGCAGGCGCCTTCATCTGCTGCAGATATCCCCCTCCAAAATAAAAGGATCCACAATCTGCATTTATGTCTTTGGCTCTTTAAATGTGATGCGTGAAAATTTAAGCAACCATTAAAGTTCATCTGGAGTGTGTTTTGGCTGGTTGTTCAGAGACTTTTATCTCCACTGCTGTAGGGACTACAGCCACAATCACAGTGTAAGAACAACGTTACATCTGTTCTTTGGTGGGACGGCTAATGGAAACTGACGGGAAAATGTAAACGCTTAGCATGCTGACAATACCTTTGATTTCTACAGCTGTTGCACCGCACACCAAAAAGCTTGAGGGTGTGTGTAGGTGTGTGTGTGTTAGAAAGATTTGTGAGCATCTTAAGATGTACGTGTGTAGCAGCCTAGCGTGTTCGGCATACAAGTAGGACCTGCGTGTGTGTGTAGTATCCCAGCGTGGGCTCTGCTAGCTCAGCGCTTTCAGTCAGCCAATTAATTACAGAGAAGCACTGGAGACAGAGCAGCGTGTGGAACACACACATCGACACCGCTACACACACACACACACACACACACACACTGGATCACACCACACCACATTACACACAGCACTTCTCTTCACTCAGACACATATTTGTCATCACTGATGCAACAAATGGCGGAAACAGAGCTGCATAAGACTCGTTGATTACGAGGGTCTCACGATTTCACCGATCTCCTGTTTCTGTTTGGTTACTTTGCCACTGCTGAAATGATGAAATATAATAAATATTCATACATATAAATATGATAAATTAATTTAACCAGTACACAAGTCTATAAATGTGCTGCTTCTAAACACTTAATAAAATCTGCTCTTCACAGAACCACATGTTGTATTTTACACTATGTGCAGAAAGACAAAATACTGCATATGAGCAAAAGCCTATTTTAAATGCAACCAATAAAAAAACAGGTAAATTGTGTAGATTTGTAGGTTTGTTGTCAAGTTAAAACCTCATCTTCACAAGCTGTAATTCTTTTAATAGTTTTTGAAGAAAAAAAAATAAAGGTCACAAAGTGGAAAGAAATCATACAAATACAGGCAAGAAAAGAAAAAATAGTGTAGCAGCACCACTTATACATTGCATCATGTCTTTGGCTTGAGATAGACTAGAGTAAAAGTGTTGAATCCTTTAAAGAGTGAAGCATTAAACCATGAACTTGCCAAAAAAAATCTAATGTTTTATTATAATGGACAGTTTATTAAAGTATCCGACTAATTTGTTTAAAAAAAATTATATGTATAATTCCATATGTGACTTTTAATTTGTATCGTATTTCCTACATCTGCCTTTTTTAAAATTGCTTAAAATGTACTGTGCAATTTATTTTGTTTGTTGTAGAAGTCTCAAAAACTGTATGTATCAAATATTATACACTAGGCATTAAAGCAGGGGTAGGCAACTCCAGGCCTCGAGTGCTGATGTCCTGCAGGTTTTAGATGTGTCCTTGATCCAACACAGCTGATTCAAATTGCTAAATGACCTCTTCAAGTTCTCCAGAGGCCTGGTAATGAACTAATCATTTGATTCAGGTGTGTTGACCCAGGGTGAGATCCAAAACCTGCAGGGCACCGGCACTCGAGGCCTGGAGTTGCCTACCCCTGCATTAAGGGGTTAAAGTGATCTGATATGAAAATACAAATCTGTGATACTCATTTTATACATGAACACCTGAGCTGCTTCTTACTCCTGCTGCTTCAGATACCTCTTTTGCACAAGTCCTGGAGCCTTTTTGAGAACAGGGTAGCAAAGAAATTGGACTCATTTTCATGGCAAGAAAATCATGGCTAAAAGAATCTGCAACTGCATCTGCAAACCGTTGCTGAATTCTCTTCAGCAA